CATCCCTAACCACCAAACAACCGGGCCCCAAACCACCAATTGGAGGAAAACAACAAAAACAGTTGACTGTTTCAAAACTAAGGAGCAACCAGCTTCTGGTGTCAATATACCATGACAACGTATGAGCAGCGCTCAATATGCGTGTCTTTCTTAGGAGACCCCCCCCCCTCCCGATAATGGCGGTTTTCCATGTTGCTCTCCTTTAAGCCGCCAAAAACGGGTACCCTCTAACAAGGACACAGCCATATGAACCTGGCCGAAGTATTGCGATCACCTATATAACTGTATACCCAAACAAGGGCTTCCCTGCACAAGCCACTAAAACACGAGTGAGGTCGGCTTGCCCCGTTGCGCCGCTTTAGTTCCAAATGCAAACCATCTTTTTCTCATCTACTCAGAAGCATGTAGAAAGCAATCTACATGAGTCACCCTCCAATTGGTGGTTTGTTTGGTTGGGCGGTTTGGTGGTTGGGAGGAGGCCAATCCAAAGCACCAACCAAGGGCTACCTGAACAATTGCATTGAAGGGCATTGAAGGAGCATGCCCCAAGCCGCCACAATAAAACGCCCATGCTTCACATAGAACTCCCAATCTGCCCGAGGGTACCCGGGTTTTGGTTGTCTCCCATGCTCTTTGGTTCGACAGTCCACGCCAAAAAGAGAGAATGACCATTTTCAGGGTCCCGATTTCAAGAAGCACCGACGCACTGACTGGCGCGGCGCGCGTTTCACGAAGAAGGTGCCTGGCTCTGACTCAAGCCCAGCGTACTCATCCAGGGCGGCATGACAATGCCGTAGGGGTCTGAGGCCGGCAGCCTGCCAGGCGTGGCCAAAGGTAAGCTGGGTCCAAGTGGGGGGGGGTAAAAGGGAGCAGGAACGTGTGGATTCTCAGGATGGGCTTAGGTAGCCTTCGGGAGGGAGCCGTGCAAGATGCTCAACTCTGAGCACCCTGAAAACCATCGCAAAGTACAGACGCCCTTCAACTCGAAGCGAGCTCCACAGCGGATCGCCACTCAAGTTCAGAACGCGATCCAAGCAAGTCCAAACGCCAAAGCTAACTTCACTATCCACTCTACGGCAAATAGGGAGAGGCAACCGAACACGAATCATCCTGCTAGCTCAAAGTTCCGCACCCTCAAACCGCATCTATTCGGGTCCGAATCAAGCCAACAGGAAACCAGCTGGATTCCTTGCCCAGAGAGCTGAAACATGCTGAAACCCAACTGGCAAAGGGCACCTTTGGTAATCTAAGTGCACCATTGGGGACTTCCCAATTGCCAATAGTTGAACATAAATCCAACCCAATGTAGCCCTTTTGGTTGGGGCAGGGCTGGTTGCCGCATTCGTCTCAAGCGCTTTTGGTTAATGCAGCTTGTGTTTAGCGGGGTAGTCAATGGGGAATTCGGAATTATGGGACATTCGTTTGCGTGAGTGTTTGCTGTACACTACCACCCCCACTATGAGGTAATTGTTGACTCTTGGAGCATTTATTGCGACACAGGAATTCTCACCACAGCCCCAGTTGTGACCCTGGCAGCATAGGGGCACCCTTTCTTTCTAGTGTTACCTTCCCCATTCTTTCCAGGGATCCTTCTTTCTAGAAAACCTCCGGAAACCCAGGAAAACGGATCTGGTCTTCGAAAAGAACGATGGTTGGAAAGAATGGAAAAGGAATCAACCCCTAGAACTTTTTGGGAATCAAGGCCCTCGGTGCGAACCCAAAGGGAACCAAACCGCCCCATGTCGACCCCCTCGACCCCCCGCGCGCCTTCCGAGCCTTGGGCTTCTAGCCGCTTGGTTTCCGCCGCGCGCGGGATTCGCCCGGTCGACACTCAGGCCTGGCGACTGGGAAGCCGCAAAGTCACCCTCGGTGGTATTGGGTCTGTCTCTTTTTGGGGACCCCCGGAATGGGTGGGCTTCCTTGGTGTCCCTGTAAAACCTCCAAAAAAGGGTACCCACAAAAAAACACACACGCCAATTTGGGGTTTGGGGGGAAACCTCTCATTCAGCCGCGGAATTATGATGAAGATCGTATTCGGGGTTTGTCCAGGGCCAGGGATCTTGACTGGGTTGCTCACCTGAAGGCGAAAATCTCATCTAGACTTGTCATATACCAAACTGGGGGCCGCTTGGATGACTTGTTCTTCCAACAACTCCTGGCTCATTGAGGAATCACCCCCTTGGAAGATCGCTCTGGAGGTTGTTGGTCTCCGCCATCTGTCTTGCTGGTGCTCGGTAGGGAATGATCGAGGGAATGAACCCAGGGCTCCCCTTAAAGGAAACCACCAGTTGGATGGTGAATTTCCGGGTCAGAAACCATTTCTCGTATTCCCCGCATCTCTCGCACAAAGGATGGCAAGCTGTTCTCGGTCGAGGAGTTGTTGGTCGTTCTAATTCTCATTCCCCATCGCACCGATCGCAAGCTCTTCCGGTCGAGGAGTTTTTGGTCGTTCCAATGCCCATTCCCTATCGCACCGATCGGGATTGGAATGGACTTGTTCTTCCAAGAACTCCTGGCTCATTTAAGTCCAAAGCACTCACCCCTTCTCATTGTGAAGGTCGGTTGTTTGGTCGTTCCAATTCTCATTCCCTATATGCTTCGATCGTATCGTTGTTCCGAGTCAAGTAAAAAATATTCGCTTTTTCCGATATATTTTTTGAGGATTCGTTTTGGTCGGAGTCGGATGCCATCCCCGAGGATTCGAAGTGCTCGGACCTGCCTAGGCCTAGGCTCTCCTTCAAGCTCTGCGTCTCCCGCCACACGGCGATGGACTCCGCCCGCGGCTGGCCCTCGTAGCGCGGCGACGTGGGCTCCCGCGTGGAGGCCACCGAGGCGCCCGCCACGCCGGGGGAGGCCACTGACTTGGACTTCCTCGGCGCGGCCCTTTTTTAGAGTCTACCCCTTCCCCCCCTTGGTCGTTTTTTGGGTGTCTTGTTTTGAGGCGGTAAAAGCAAAAACCGCCATTTGTTCAACTTGCGATCGGCGAGAGAAGCAGTCATCAACCTGTTTGGGATTCCCGAATGAAGGGAATCATAGGGTATGGTTGATAAGGGGTCATTCCATTTCTCATTCTCTGCCGAGGGTCCGTCCCCCTTTTTCGTGGTTTTAAAGGGCAAAAAGGAAACCCACCATCTTGAGGAAAAAAAGGGACTGCCTGACTGGCGCATCCCCAAACCGGGACCTCTATTAAACCCTAAGCAAATACTGAAGGGACCTCTGGCTCCAGGGTAAAAACAACTGCGTGACTGGATGTGTCGATTTCTTTCGCCGGGGTTTAATGGGATATGAACACCACTGCATGGCGGCTATACCAACGGTATATAAACCTGCTCTTGCTCCTGCGGAGACTGGCTTGGGAGCAGTGGAAACAATCTTAGAAACCTATGTTTTCACTCATTTCTCAAGGAACCCCGCTATATGGGTGTGTCCTTTTTGAGGGACCCCGTTTCTGAGTGGTTTCAAAGGAAAACCAAAGGGACAGCCAGCATTTTGTGGGTCCCCCCAGCTCCGTATTTTATGACAAAGCCAGCGAAGTGCTCTGACAGTCCCATGCCAGGGACCATACCACGCCCAAACCGTTAAGGCCTGAGTTGGACTTATTAGGTCCTAATACGGGATATTAAGCGTCGGAACCAACCAATGAGTTGGATTGAAACGAGCGCCACCTGAGTCTTCACACCCCCCTTCCCGCCCAGCCATCACCAATGAGTTCTGACAACTCTCACAATGTTCACCTGACAATTTGGGGTCCAACCAAAAAAAAGAAAAGAAACGCCCGCGCCAGCTCTCCACCGGGCTTCCAGTGGCCGTGGCTTGCGCTCTGCGGGCTCGCGCTCTGCGGGCTGGCGATGGTGTGCCGCAGCCCGGAGAGTTGTCGCGCCGACAACTTGCCGCCAAAGTCCCTGGGGCGCCTGCGAGTTGCTTCACCCAGGTGTCACTGGATGGGTTTGTTTTTGGTGTAAAAGTATCTCTATAGTCTGGCTATAGTGATACTTAAAAAACAAAACCAAAAAAAACATCCAGTGGCACCTATATTTTTAGGGCTTCTCGTTTGGTAGAAACATCATTGGTTACAAAAATGGTTTTTCATACATGTGTTTGGCTGTTCAGTGAGAAATCGATCAAGTCCAACCACTAGAGGACCCCCGTCTGATTGCTCTGAGAGTTGCTAAGCGGACATAACATGGGCCGGCCCTGGTAACAGACCTTGACAAGCAACAAGCTCTCCAATTCAGCTCCGCCTATGGTGTAGATACATATACAAAACAAAATCAAGAGCACATCAGGATAGCATTCGGAGTGTGCCGGTCCAAACAAAGACCGAAGCTTAAAGCTCTGAAATTCAGGTCAGTCACAGCAGCTGCTGTGCGTCGGCACCGCGCAGAGCCCAGGCTGTCCAGGAGAGCTCGTTCCGTTCCGCCACCATGGCAGATCGATTCCCCGGCGGTTTCGCGTGCTTCGCGCACGCGAAACCGCCAATTCCTGAATTAGTCCCAACCCTTGAGTAATGATCTGGATCTGTTAGGCGCAAATGTTGCTGGCCCGGGTGCGCAACTGTTGACAGGTGTGGGTGATGCGTCGCATGACTCTAACACACACCAAGGAAGCCAATAAAGCTGCCAATGACCAAGCGTGGCGAAGGTCTTTACCTCAGAAAACGACATAAGGACGGAAACCAACAGCAGTGCGATGCTGCTATGGTAAAACGAAATAGTGCGCGGTGGTGGAAAATCACCCTTCACCTGAAGTAGCAACCAAAATTTTACTAAAAGCCAATCTTGACAAGCATGCTCTCAAGAGGGCGTGTTCTTTATTTTGCATATGCCACTTGACTCGTCGTCTGCAACTTTGCCACCCACCTCATGTGGCATCCCACTGAGAGCAATCTAGACTCCTGACTGGAAGATCACTTCCCTCTCGGCCCAAAAAAAAACGCGCCCCTTAAGCTTCCATGGTACAAGCCCTGAGAACCGTCGTCTGACCTGAGAACCGACTCGCACCTTGCGGGGGAACCGGTCGTCCCTTGGGACTGCCTCAAACGGTCGCTTTGTCAAGGTCGCACGCGTGTGGTGGTTACCAAGCGCTTGGCATCTCACTGAGGGATATGCCCAATGTGAAGAACTCAACGGGCGGATAATCCGCACCTATTTATGGTGGTGATTGTGGCTCAAAACACAAATGGGTTCGGGACCCTCCAACGGTGGGTTCACATAATGGGCCCTTAGCAACCAAATGGAACCAACGGGCAAGCTTGTTCTGTTCCCAGGCGCTCGACCTGTGACCAATTGGGCGATTGACCACCAAACGCGCGATCCGAGGCGCCCCATAAAACACCCTGTTGGAGCTATGCCTCGGGCCAGCAGGAAATCCATGCCTAGGCCGAGAAGCTCTGGGGAAAGATTCCCTTGGCCAAGAATCTGAGTGCCCAAAGGAGGCATCTGTAGCATTGGAGCCAATGGGTTGGTCTCCTTTGGGCTTCCCTTTGAACATCAGTTCGGGGGGGTCCCCTCAAAGTCCCCCACAGGAAGTGAATTCTGCGGGAGGAAGAAAAGCGGCTGTCAGCTCTGTCTGTCTTTCCCAAAGAGTTGTGCAAAAAATTGGGGGAATCCCTGAAAATAGGGCAGGGGTCACTTTGTCCCCAAATGTTGTCAGAGCCACAGAGCAAGAGAAGAAGACAAGCTACCCCTCTGTCAAATTCATTCTGCATGGAAAGAACATCATCAAATATATGCTGTGTCTATAATTCCTGTCCAGGCCTGTGCGGATGAACAAACTCCTGCAGTGGGTTGTGTATGAAAAACATCATCCATCCCAACTGGTACGAGGTGGATCTTGTCCAGTACCAAACCCGCCTGACGGGCGGTTTGGCCGGGCACATAACTAGGTCCTCCAGTAGAGAGGTTACAAAAAGGGTACCCTTTGTTCTGTAGCCTATTTTAGTAGGGGAACCCTCCCCCAAAAAAGCGTAAAAGGGCACTACGGGGGGACCTAGATAAGTCAACTGAGCCTCCCGCCGGTGAATTGCCCCAGCTTGGACACCTGAGTTTAAAGGAAATTTTCCCCGAGAGGGATGTTGATTAGCAGATGTCTGGTCACTTTCAGACATGCAACTACTTATTGCCCTCGCTTATGGAGGCTGGCCTGGAAGACAATCTGAGCTGGCAAAACTGTACTGGAAAATGCTTTCCGGAAGAATGCAAGTTTTCTTTGGGGTTCGCTATTTTTGTTCAGTGCTTCCAAGCAACTACTTATGCATCAAGCAATTGGGTGGTCCCGTGACACAGCTAGCTGGTTCAACATGTCGTTTCTTCAAGCTGCTTGGACTAAGCGCTTCAAGGCGTGGGCATAGCAAATGCCGGATGGACAAAGTCCCAATGGAGGCACTCGGGCTAAGAACATGGTCATTGCGATATCATTCTGTCGTTCTGTGCACTGGTGTTGGCGTGTGGCACAAAGGTTCACTTGGCAGCGTTGCAATTGATCCTGGAAGCGAGCTCCGTATGATGCTTGTGGTTGTCGTTTCTGGAGGCCTTCAATTCACAATACCGTTTCCCGTGGTTCGGAGAACATTCTGCATATTTCTGCGCGCCGACGTGTACTTTCCATCATCGGGGGACGGGGGTTGCCGGTTGATCCTCCTTCCGCTTGAAGCATTTTCTGCCATGGCACCCGGTGGGGAGAATTCTTTAGGGGACGTGGGAGTCCGTCACCCATGGCAACGGGTGAGATGGTTCGTCACGTTGCCGAGCGGCCACGTCGTGGTTCTGGGCCGCCAGCTCCCGCCTCGACTCGAGCGTCCGAGCTTCGAGAGCTGGCGAATTTTTGGAGCTCAGGAGATTCGGACGTTGGAGATTCGGTGTGGGGGGGTGATCCATTCTTAGTGCGGGTGGTATTGGGGGATTGGGGGTGCATCGCAACTTGGAAGACTCCATGGGTGATATTTTTGGTGGGGACTAAGGCAACGTCCAACCATGTTGCAGGCGCTGCCCGTCCAAACCGCGAATAAGGGAGGATCGTACTTCTCCTGCACACATCGGCTCAAGGGAAACATGAAACAAGCAAAAGGAAAATACGGGCATGTTGGAATAGGAGGAAAACAAAGACACGACAACCTTTTGTTTTTGTTTTGGTTTTGTGTGTCTTTTTTTTTTTTGGGGGGGGGGGAAGGGTCGTGTGGGCTGTAACATTATGTCATCACTTGTTGTTCAGATGTTGGTAAGATATCTCTTGAGTGGGCTGGAAAAAAAAATGCTCTTGCATGGGTTGCTGAAAAGGAGGTGAATTCTATAAACTGAAGAGTGGATCTCGGTTTCCCGATCACAAAGGGTTCTAAAGCACATCCTTTTTAATGCTGCTCGTTGAGCCTAGTGGGACCCACCCCGCCATCAACACACATGGGTGTGTCTTTTTTGAGGATACAGTATCGCTTTTGGGGCGGCTTTGAAGGGAAACCCCCAGGACACTGAGGCCTATTTTCTCGGGGCTCCCTTATATTCAGAAGCAATCCCAAATGCCGGTAAAGTATTTGACCCTTGCCCGACACACTTGTGGGAACCCCTTTTCTGTGATGCCACAGCGGGGGGTTCTCAATCGCTCATGACCAGCTACTTTGGCACTAAAAGCAGACATCCCAAGGGTGATGATTACAGAAATGAACGACCAAACATCAGCCATTGCTCGCAAGCGTGTCGCTGTTGCTCACCCTCCAACAATCATGGCAGACAGAGGGCTTGGAGAGACTGCTTTCCTTTTGGCTTTTGGGGAAAGACCTCAAAAGCCCACTTCCATGTTGGAAAAGGGAACCCAAAGTCATTTTGGAGGGGTCCCCCAAAACCAGACAATGAAACGCAGAGCATCCGCGCGTGGGGCAAAGGCAGAGGCCCTGCGGCTGCCGCTGTCGCGAGTCCACCGCGATCAGCATCTGGCGGATCGCGACGCTGGGCGTGTGGTTGTACCTATTTTGGGATTGGTTTGAAGGGAATCCAAAGGGAAAACCGAAATCATGTTTTTCGGGCTCCCCATCTTGGGGGTTGTTTTTTGTTGCGAAACCAAAAGGACACCATGGATTGGGCTCCTTGCCCATGTGGCATAGGTTCGAAATGGTTCGAATCCATGCCATGATCCACGACAAAAACAGAGTCGGAATCAAACCTGACATGAATGGAGTCTACCCACAACCCAACAATCAAGAGGGCGGCTCTTGACTGTCCCTAAGCTTCTGTTCCCATGTTTGAATTTGTGGCTCATCTGAGCCGAGGCCTGAATTGCTTGGAGATTATGCTGTAGGCCCATCCCTTTGAGTTCTGGCTTTGCTTTGAAATGGAAGCTAGGTTTGACACATGACCCTTCCTGAGTAGTGAAGCAAAAAGCAATACAACACCAAGCTGGGGCAAACAAAGGCAAAGCAACCCCTAGCAGCCTTAACGAAGAATTGTGCTGAGTAGCAATAAGACAGGGAACGCTATAGCAAGTCCCTGCTCTTTGCAGGTATCCAATTGTATCTTTGCATATTAGTCTTTAACCTCGACTTCTATTTGCTTAAGCACTTCCAGTATGATAGATTCCCTTTAAAACCAAAAAGAGTCTTAAGGGAAGGAAGTCGACATGGGGCTTCCTGTATAAGAATCCGGATGCCAATGAGGTACGCGCCCCACCACGCATGTGTACCGGGCATTCTCTTACGACACATCAGGGGCGCTCAGTTTCCTTTCTGTTCACTGGGCTCAAAATGGGAGTGTGTGAGCGGGAGGTTAACACAAACTCTGAAGCAAATGCGAACGGATTGGGGGTTTGGGCGCGAGGCGTCCTGAGGTTCAGGCTGAAGCCTCACCTGATGCACAACCTTTCGTGGTCTGCTGAAGCATGCGCACTGTATCATGTCTGTCTCAAAATGGGTGTGTCACTTTGTAGGGGGTCCCCTTTTGATAGGCAAAGGAAATCCAAAAGCAAACCTGTTGGGGGGGGGGGGGGCAGGTTCGATTCCTAGCTCGAGGCAAGCCGAATGGCTGTGAAAATAGGTACCCAAAATGGAACCCTGGTAAATGGAAACATGGACTGCAACCTGCGGTCCCCTGGTGGTTTAATTTTGACTCATACCCAAATGGGAACCCCCAAACTGGTGTCCCGCAAGATGCACACCCCTGGAGCCAACCCACCCTTGCAGTGAGCCAGGCCCACCGCCAGTGCAAAGGCAGCGGTCTTGCCCGAGCCATTCCGGGCCTGGCCAAGCCAACTGGAGTTGTGGTCCTGTCCTTTTTTGGGGACACCCCTGTTTGGTTGGGCCAAAAGAGAAGCCAGAAGGAAATCAACCATTTTGGAAGTCCACTATATAATTTTGACACATATTCATAGAGCTGCTGACTCCCCCCACAACCAAGCAATTGCTCATTGCCCCAAGGACATGGACCTTGCGGAGCCACAACTGGACGAAACCTGGAACCAAAGTGTGGCTTTCGGCAACTGAAGGAAACGGTATTTCATCTCGGTTCCCTCAGGACCGCCTGGCCGATGATGTTGCCGCCTTTGAGCGCAATGGGCAGCGTCCACTCCTGGCATAAGAGAACCGGCCCAGTTCGGGGCCTCGCGTGTGGTTTCCGCCGCGAAAGTGGCGAGCAGGGCCTGTTGGATTGAATACACTGCACCACTCATAGCTGGGAGGGCTTTGGAAAGCTATGTTCCCTTTGGGAAACACTTCCATGCTTGGAAAGAGGGCACATTGAACCAACCGTCCACTTCGCTTCCAAATCGACATAAACGGAAGCCGAGCAAACCTCCCTGGAACCTCCCTGGAGGATTGGAAGGATGGTGCAAATCCTCCACCCCTGCTCCTCTTCAACCAACAGTAGAGATACCAGTCACATTGTCCCTAACTCCCTTCGGTCATCTTCGGTGATGGACAATGAAGGGCTCCCCTCGCAGTCGGATTGTCCATGCCAAAGCACTTTCCACAGACATGAGCAGTATGAAACTGCACTAAATCCCACCAACTACACTATGACAGGCAACAAGGGCCGAAATTGGTGCTTCCTACAGAGAAAAAAACGAATCACCGGGAAAAAAGAAGAAAAAAAGATGTGGCTTCGAACGGCCTGGATCTTCGAGGGCCTCACGAAGCCGAGCTCGAAGATGCCATCGAGGATCTCCTGGCCGGCTGCTAGGGGGGGCGGGTGTTTGGTACTTGGAACCGGAGGGCGGGGCGTGCGACGAGTTTTTGTTTTCTGTTTTTTCCATTGGAACTTCAATGCGCCTTTTGTAGAGAGGGTCCTGTAACTCAGTTGAGTAGATGGCCCAAAACAACCCATGTGTCTACCACTCATGGTCTTCCCAAGCTTCAAGTCCCAGAACTGAGGAGCTGAGGGAATCAAACAACTCGTGGCCTCTCTGAGCGGCGAGGCTCGCCAATGCCCGCGCAGTCCTTGGGCAGCTTCATCTCATCCCAGGAGGTCACAGCCAGGTACTCAGCAGAGGGATCCTCAAATTTGGAGGTCGCTCGACGCGGCACGCGGGCAGCTTTCCCCAGAAACCACGCATGAAGGGGACTCTTTGGCGCGTATTATTTGGAGGACTTCCACCAACCATTCTGGGCGTTCCCTTTTCAAATTCCAAGTTGTGTCCTGCTTTGGTCTCTGGCGAACAACAAACAACCACTTGAGCCAGCTTGATGGCCTGGAATCCCTGACCTTCTGACTGCGAGGTGCAAAGACCTCCCACTGACCTTTCAGACTTCCCCAGGCTCCTCCTGTTCAATGACCACCTTGGCCGAATCCTCCCCCACCAGGCGCTGATCGCGCTCCGGCCTGGCAGCTGCGACTGGAACACAAAACCGGGCTCTGGCGTGGGGAGAAAAATGCAGCGAAGCCTCGAAGAACAAGAACCAATCAGAGAACAGCCAGTGAGAGAAGAGAAAAATCCAGAAAATCCGCGAGGAAAATCCAGTGCGAGAAAAAACCGAGGAGAAGAAAAACATACACCAACCCCCAAAGAAAAAATCTACTGAGAGAAGGCGTCGTGGGTCGCACACCGCCAAGAGGCCGGTGCGAATCATATGCGAGCAAATGCAGTGAGCCTGACAGCAGCCTGGAGACCAAATTTCTGGGCGCTCTGTTTCTGTTCACCCCCCCCCAGAACATGGAGGCACCCTTCACACCCTGCTTCCTTGGTCGCCTGCCTAGTATCTGGACAAATTCCGCTTGAAGGGATACGGGCATGAACAACCTTCATTAGAATACTCTCCTCTAAACCGGATAGAGGAAGAAAAACATATCTGGGGGCCAACTCCAAAGCGGCCGGGTTGGAACTCGTGGTCCCAAAACCGGATCTTCCATGGCTCAAGTGGTCCTGTCAAAAACTTAATTGGAGTTTCAACATACAAAAAGATGGCAAAGAGTCAACACAGCCGTTTGAAGTGACAGCGGAAAATCAATGAAAGGGATCTCTTTGTTGGGGCGAACTCCCCCAACCCCCAACACTCCCCCCGCCTGCCATTCGCACTGCCATTTGCGCGCGGTGCCGCCTTTGGCCTTGGCGCCTCCGGCGTCTTCTCGCTCCAGCCGGCGCTCCAGCCGTCCGCCTTCCAGCCGTCCGCCTTCCAGCCGTCAGCGCTCCACCCATTGTTGGGATTGTTGGCCTTGTAGCCGCCCCACGGGTCCTCGCCTGTACAGTGGCAGTGAAAAAATATAACAAACGCATGAGCCCCTGCCAAATTTTGCCGACATGCTGATGAACATGGGAGAATCTGGATATGGTCTTCCCATCCCCCCCCTCTAAGGTGGACAAGGTTCTGGAACACTGGATTTTGGGGTTTACCCTGGGCCTTGAGAAATCCCGTCGGTCTTGTCCCTTCCCTGCCTGGCCATTGCAACTGCAAAGTGCTTTTGGATTTTCTAGCATGGGGAGCACCGCAGGGGCACTGGCCAAGAGGGTGCCCTTTTCGAGCTTGTCAAGCTGACAGTTTCCAGTCAGCTGATTCTATCGCGATCTGGAAGGGCTAATCCTTGGAACTACGAAAGAAAGCAGTATTGGCAGAAGTATGGGCAATAGCCGGGGTTCGTACATTTGGCCACCCCCGAAAAGGAAATCAAAGAGCAACAAGGAATGGAACCCAACGGTTTCAAGTGCTCTTTGGTGTCTGTTTTTTGGGGAAGCCACGTTGGCACAAGAATGTTCTATCCCGCAATAGCCTTTGCAACTTGAAATCGTGATATCTTGAAAAAGGGCATCTTTAATTGGGGTTTTGGTGGGTGGCAAAAAAAGGGATAGAAACCTTGTCGGCGCCGATAAAGAAGACTTGGCTCGGTCTTGGATCGGGGCTCGGTAGGCGCAAACGAGGGATACCGAAGGGGGGGTCGGTAGGCTTAGGGTTAGAGAAACAATATCGGAAGGCCCAAGGTCCGTGGGTCACAGCCTCGACCTACCCCAAGGTCCAAAGGTAGACGCGGGCGTTTTATTTGCGTGTTTGTCATAATCAGGGATCTTTTCAGGCGGTTGGTTTCATTTTGGTTTTCCGTGAAAACCATCCAAAAGGGGCCCCTATTTTGAGACAGGCCGATGTTCTGCACTTGGGGGGAACACTATATGCTGGAAACCGAGTCTTGCATGGCGGCTGCTTCCCAAAAACATGTTTTCCCCTCGACCTGATGTTGCCCCAAATTCGCAGTTCGTTGACTTTCGACTTGCGAGTGCTTAGGCCTTTGCCTGTATGAGTCTCAGGGATTCAATGAATCAAGTAAATAATTGCTTTCCACGGAGACCCCTTGCTTTAAGGGATGACAACACCAAAAAAATGGTCGTTGAGAACATATCCTAACATAGGAAACGCCGAAACGAACAACGGTCAACAAGCAGATTGGGGTGTGTCACCCTGGGTTTTGCAGGCATTTACATACAAAAGGACCTCACTACCCAGGGCCTGAAGGTACATTGTTTGGACGCTTGACTAGGCACGGACCGAAATAGGACAACCACAATGCAAAAGATCAACATGTCGATTCGCTGGCAGGCGAGCTATAGGGAAGTCTGACCGATCAGATCAACTCTCTCTCTCCACTCAATGAAAACTGGGGACCTTTTTGGCGGCCATCACAAATACATCCCGGCGGGCCGAAATCCGCGCTCGTGTTTTGCCGCTTTTCTGAAAAACTTGCGTTTCACCTCAGCGAAACGCTCATTGAGTCCCCAAAAAACCTCCCAAAAAGAGGGCTGAGTTTTAGAGGTGTTTTGTGGTTCGCTGCGGCGAAACGCAAATTGTATCGCCCATTCGCTGCCTTCTCCTTTTCACATCTCTGCGATCGCAACGACTGTTTGTTGCTCCACATCTCGCTGACGCAAAACATAGCGCCACTGCCAAGACTTTATATACAAGAGGAGATGCGGGCTGCACGAAGGCAGCGCGCAGTGTTATAACGCAGCAGTCGGGCGGGTGCGATTACCATGGTCAGGCGTGCACGCAGTGTTATAACGCAGCAGTCGGGCGGGTGTGCTTTCCGTGGTCAGGCGTGCACGCAGTGTTATAACGAAGCAGTCGGGCGGGTGTGCTTACCATGGTCAGGCGTGCGCGCAGTGTTATAACAAAACACTTACCATGGTCAGGCGTGCTATAACGAAGCAGTCGAGCGGGTGCGCTTACCATGGTCAGGCGTGCGCGCAGTGCCAGGGCGAAGAAGTGGTGCGGGCGTGCTATGCGGGGTTGCAGGAAAAAAGTGCACGCTGAGAGCGGTTTCTGGTCCGCTAGCAAATACATGCCGATTTCTGGAACCATTCGAGGGTGGTGTTCCTTTCAAATTCATAGCTAAGTTTCTCCCTTGTTTTCGCATCCTCCCAAAAGAGTTGCGATCTTTCAAGGCTCTCCAAATCCGGCGCCTCAAAAAAAACAACGCCCAGGTGCAAAAGCCCCGGCCGCAAGGAAATCCCCGGAGGGAGCCGCCTGATTGCCAGGGATCCTTCGACTCCTTCGCCTTGTAGCTGCCCATGTCGGGACCCTGACGGATCTGAAACCAAACTGCACCTCAGCCTTTGCCTCAAACATGATTTGAGTCGTAATAAAAACCAGAACCATGTTCTGGCATCAAAGTGGTCTACCCAGAACCATGTAAAGAATCAAGAAGGCGGATCTCCGCAACTCATTCTGGCTGGGAGTGTCCCTCACTAACCTTCATCTACCCGGGTTTTAGTTGTGGGCAACATGAAAATCCCAGCTCTCAGGTCGGGGGGGTTGGGTTCAGAAAGCCAAATGGCCGAATTCTGTCAACTTTGGGATTCATGAAGCCCTGGCCGGGATCTCCATGGTTTGCAACCAAAATCTTTGCGATGGCGCTCGGACCTCCGGAAACCTCCTAAGGGAGTAGAAAACACTTTTACGGGGTCCCGCCATTTTCCATGAAGCTTACTCCTCGAAGGATGTCCAAAGAGTTCTCTCCGTGTGCGTGGTGCGTGGGTTCTGGGTGAAGAAACGGCCGAACAGAGACGCACATTGGACAAACCATAGGCATGGGAAACCACAATTCCTGCCGGTGACGACAGAAAGTGGCAACAACCCGACTTTCCAGAACCTGTTCCTAGGCTTTCCTTTCACTCGGCTGACTCTACCCGACCAAACGGGAAGTGTCCGGTTTCAACCGTGCCTCCTCAAAACCAGGCGGTAGCGGCAGCGCCTGCCCATGCCCCGCCCCGACTGAGCAAAAGTTCTACGTGCTTCGCCGGAAACGAAAAAAAAGGTGTGTCTTAAAGCAGGGGCACCTCCAAAATGTGTGGTTTTCTTTTGGCTTCCCTGTAAAACAATCCCAACAAGGTCTCCAGAGGGGATAGAATAAGGGTACCCTTTGTTCTGCAGTCTATTTAAGTAGGGGAACCCTCCCCTAAAAAGGGTACAAGGGCATCACTACTGGGGGACCTAGCCAACATGGGTACCCTCAAACAAGACACACCCAGAAACCACGGCGATGGCTTGATCGGACTTCGCCCCTGCCTCGGGCTTCACAGAACCTCAGCGCGGTGAAGAGCCGTCCCATTGCAATTTGTTTGGCAAATGTCCTTTCAAAAACCATTTGCAGGAAAACACATTTAAAAATTCTAATGCAGGGAAACCATTTGCAGGAAAAGCCAACTACACCAAGAAACAAGTCGATGTCCTGCAGAGACCCCTGGTTTGGATAGGAACTACACTTGAGGGCCCCTTCCATGTGTCCAATCAGCCAGGAAACCCAGTGGGAGGGTTTTGTTGCAGAGACCCTGACAAAACGGCTCAGGTACGGAGCCTGCACCAAATCTATGGGAAGAATAATCACACGGGCTTCTTGATATCCACACCTATTGCAAAAAAGTGTTTCCCAATTCCAGTCTTCACCTACGAGTCAAGGGGAACATACTCAAGCTGCGAACTCGGAGGGGCGCCTGAGAAACTCTCCTCTGGTTCATTGGTCAGACATGACTGTCAACGGGCTTATTAAGAAAAGGTCAAGGTAGACAGTCTGACAGCTAGATACGGATCTCTGAAAGCCGACCCTCAACCCGGGCGAGTCCAACTTTGCCTTTAGAGCCGCCAGGCTACGGAGCCAACAAAAAGCCGAAGGCGCCCATGGAGCTGCGCCCGAGGCTCGGGCCAGACATAAAGGCCTAGCGAAGCAAAGGCCAGGCCACGACCTTTTTCGGAGTCTGGCTCCATAGGCCCAAAGCGCATATTTCCATAAGCCTTTGGTCAGATCGAACAGATAGCGTGATGTTGCGTCCGTGATCCTGAGGATTTACACCTATCTTTGGCAAACTTCCAGATTGCGTGTGCTTGGCCTTGGACCGAATCGCTTTATGGACACTCTCAAAATGACCTGAAGAGCATGACATTCGCCTCCCAGACTTTTGAAAACCCTCTGGAATGTTGACTTTGTGGAATTTTTCTGGGACCATTTAGAGTCTTCAAAGATGTATGGGTGGCCTGAAAGGGATGAGTCGCTCATAACATCAGCGCCCATGTCCTCACTGTGGCCTTCGGATGGATTTTCAAAGGGACCGTCTGGAACGGTTCCACCAAATGGGAGGTGGGGTCCATCATTTTCCCTGGCCAACATCAGGGAGTCGTTTGGGACGATAGAAAATCCACCAGGGTCGGGGGCTTTTGTTTTTTTTGGGGGGGACACACCTTTGCCCAACATCTTGCTTCAACATCAGCATCAGGGTTCCCCCCTTTGTGTACAACTTTCTTGGGGGCGTCAAACGTCACTCAATTTTCAGCCAAAGGGAAGGGACACCACCATGTGCTTTGCTTCCTTTTCTTTGGGAGGGTCATCTCTTATTTCGAGACACGCCCTCGAACCTCTTTAAGTAGGTGGTGTTGGAGTCTCTTTCGGCAAGGTTCATATCCTGACCTTCACAACATGGAAACATCGACCTCAGCTTTCGGCCCACCAAAAACAAATTTGATGTTTGCTGGTCGTGCACACCTGAACATCATCGACTTCGACCGAAAGCCGCCATGTGCCTCAAGCTCCTTGAGGTCGAGGTGGTCCGACGCCTCCGAGGAGTGATTTGACTAAGGCTGCCTGGGTCCTCATGGGAACAATCCCCAGCGGAAAATGGCGATGGCCAGTGGGGCTCCACCGTATTCCAGCTCAGAAACAACTCGGTTTGCATGTAGCCGAGAAAACAAACAGATAGATGTATATATATATATATGGGTCCCCACCCATTTTCTCTTGTGGGGGGGCGGGGGGGGGGGGGGGGATTAAGCACCGTTTGCCATACAATTGATGCACCGAGCAAGACTCGTCGGGCCCCGCCTCTTGCGCCATGCTTGGCAAAACTGAATCCGAAGCGAAATGGGAACCCTGGATTTGTGTAACCCTCGGTTAATCACTATGCGGGGGTGTCCGGTAGGTATCAACGAGATTCGACGGAGAGTCCCCCCTTCCTTTCAACATCACTCCATGTTGGAAAAATCATCAAAACTGGCAGGCAGGGAACGGGTGCAGGAGATTGGGGGATCCTTTGTTTCAAGTTGATGATGCTACAGACCCACCAACAAAAATCAATCTGCACCTCTCCGACTTTGAACCCATCCAACAAAAGAGTGCCCGGCTTCGAGACCAAGCCATGTGGTCTCTTTTGGAGTCGCACGCTTTCTGAGATTGGTTTCATGGGACAAAGAGAAACCCACAAGTTCCTCAATTTGAGACAGACCCATGGGACTTCGTTGTGGTCAAATCGATTATCTACCTGTCAGCTTTGAGCCAAAGCATCGCAGCAACATGAGAGTTGTGATTTCCCACGTGGCCGTCCTTATGAATCTCGCTGGAGCCTGTGGGTGCGTCGTTTATAGGGGAACCGCCCCAAATGGATGTTCTGCTTTTGGTGTCCCATTAGAGCCACCCCAACAAAAAGACAGACCCACGTAATAATTTCCCGACCAATGATGGACCTCCAATCAGTGAATCGATCGCCGCAAATAACAACCCGGTAAGTGCCCGATTGAACTTTCCCAGACAACTCCTTTTGGGGTTGCAACGATCGTCATTCCGAGAGGTCCGAAGCTCATGGGCAACAGATCCACAGACCCGGCCTGTTTTGATGCCTCCCAAAACGCAATTCTCTTTCCCTCCTCCCCAAAGCGTGGGGCAAAGCAGCGCTTGGTCACCCATACAGGGAGATGTGGACCTCCTTCTACCTTGTGCCGAAGGCATTGCTGTTGCTGCCCCTTTACTCCGATCCCAACAGAATAGTACATACCGAACAAGGGGCCAATGTGGATGTCTCCAAACGCGAGGAATCTGCAAACAAGAATGTGGCTTCCTCTTTGGCTCTCTTGACAAAACAACACGCACCTGAATGCTTCTTAGGAAAAAGCGGCACTTCGTGCTTCCCACTCTTGTGACCCTTTCAAGTGCTCTGATTTTCTCGCCGCTTGGGCGAACCTCCCTGATCCATCGGATCGACATTAGCAGCGCGGAAGTCGTCCCCCCTCACGCCGTGGTGCCAGCCACAAGGGCCTGTCATTTTCATTCTCCGAGGCTCTCAGCGCGAGAACCCCACCTCGAACTGAACAACAGGTGGGTTGAGCACCCCTGTGGAACCTACCCCCTTCCGCACAGTAATAAAGCTTAGGGGGTGATGATGTGTAAAATGAGCCCCGCCCGGTGTCCGCCTCTTACCAGGGCGTCGCAAGCCTAGAGCGACAAGCACCCTGGCTATCTAATGTAGAGCAAACTGGAACCACTGGCCAGTTGCTAAGACCTCCTTTAAATTTGCGCTCATGAGCATAAACGGGGGTTCTGGGAATCTAGGGCCGTGCGGCTTTGGGGGTTTGGGGTTCCTTGCCTTGTGAGGATGTGATTGATCAACCCGGACCAGGCAACCCTAAGACCCGAATCTTCACCATGGCAAGGGTGCGATGAATCCCGGAATAGATGAATCTCTCCAGTTTAACGTGGAACCCCAACCCCCCCTCCCCAATTTTTTGAGGAAATCTCCTTTTGGGGGACCCTCAAAAAGCTTCCTTCCGTTAAATTGTAGCGGAGGTAATCTCCCGTTGGCATTGCTGTAGCAGCTGAGCTCCTTCCGAGAGTCAGTTTGTCTCTGAAGGACCCGGCTGGCGCCGGTTTGCCCCAACGCAGTTCTTGACTGCTCCGGTATGCCCTGCTTCAACGCTATGTATACATATGCGTCTTTTATATATATATATATATATATATATATGTATATATATATATGTATTATGTCTGTCTGTGTTTATGCAAGCATTCGATGGTACCATCGGCAAAACTAAAGACTGAGACAGACTCTGACGCCAAAGTTTCCCCGACTTTGTATTTTGAGAAGCGAGTCGGTCGCTCGATGTCAACGGCCGGTCTTTCTCAGAAAAACACCTGCATTGGAAGATAGACGTCTTGGGGGGCCCAATGTTTGGTTTTGTCTTTGTTGTATCAATTAGTCAAGAGAGGCCTTGATTTTGTTGACCCCAAAACATTTCGTTGACTCAAAAGCAAAAACGTAAACAGAGGATGACCTTTTTCCTGGAACCCCCAACACATGGTGGTTGTTCTCTTGGTTTCCCTTCAAAACCAACCGAAAAAGTGGAACCCTCAAAAAAGGACACACCCATATTCGGATTCCCGGGAAGGCTTGGCTTCCCAATTCTCGTCCATCGCAATCAACCCTTTGAGAAACCGCCTGGGGCCCAACCCGGGAACACGCTACCCTCGTCCATGTACGAAGGGAGGAATACACTACAACTCCAACGGCAGGTTCTCGTGCCAATACCATGAAAGCGGCAGTCGCAGGACTTCCCAGGGTGAGAGGTCTTCAGCGTCCCGTGACCATTTCCCCCCCCAAATGATGGCTCTTTGAGTTTCCTAGTCGTAAGCCACCCCGGCTTGTTGGTTCTTATTTCCGGCCCAGGTAACATGCGGAAATCGCATTCATCCCCGGAGCAAGACCCTAAGTTGGAACGGCGAAGATACTGACATGCCGGACCTGAATTCTTGATGTTGCATCAGTCTGTGAAGCAGCCAGCTGCTTGTTGGGCACTTGATCCAGTTTCCTTAGTATGGAGGGTACAGGCACGGCCCCTTTGCCACAGCCCGGCATTTTCGAACGCGGCCAAATGAGGCGACCCAGCGCCTCCAAGATGTTGATGGCCGTCATAAATGTCTCCGCCGGCGGCTCCTCCGACCGCCCACCCCACTTCTCGAGAAGTGTAGCAGAGGTCCCTAGTTTCCCCATTCAAAGGGGAAGCATCGAGAGGTAACCCTGGTTGTTTTAAGAGACAACCGAAGGGAAACCACTCTTCCGAACTTGCAAACCCATATAGGGAACCCCGTGCAAACCCTCTTGGGAACATGCCAACATCGTCACGCCCAGCCCGTGGCCTTTCCAAGCAGCTTCTGCTCCTGAACCTCAAGCAGAGCGGCGGGATGCGATGCCCAAAACTCCCGTGGGACAACCTGGAAAGATTTCGAGTGAAACGTGCCCCGCACTACACATTCCCTGCAACGCGCTTGGTTTCGCACACACACACACACAATACACAAATTATATCGCTAAAGATTATGTCCGGAAGCCGCAAAGAGGTGTGGGAAATACAAGGAAACGATGGAGCCCAATGGCAATCATGGGAAACGTCCAATTCATAGCACCCGATTGAAATAAACAGCTTGCAAACCAAGAGAAGCCCCTAGCTCACCTGATCAGCCTCATATTGCTTTTGGATGCAGTATCCAACAAAAACTTGAGACTCACGTGTCAATCAGGGCCCCTTTTGGTGTGCGTTTCACAACGCAACCCACCAGTCTGAGCTGTCAGAAGCAAAAGGACATCCTCAAAGTCGCCCTTCCACGGCACACCGAACATGTAATTCCGAGATCACTTTCAGGGACCCAGAGCTTTCCCGGTTGCAAAAGGGCGCAGCAGAGAAGCTGAACCTTCGAGGCCCTAGCGCGAAGCAGCCTGCCACACCAAATGATCCAGTCCCGCCGCAGAAGCTCCTGTCGCCGAAGTGGTCCGGAAAAGCGGCTGGCGCTTGCGGCTTGAACAATTTCTCCACAGCGAGTGCCTTTTTGAACAAGCAATAGGTAAGTGCAAAAGCGGCGGGCAGAGTTTCTGGAGAAACAAATCAACCACGAAAAAATGAGCCAATCTCATCGCAAGGTCAGAGAGATGTATTCATGGGTCAGCCTCAGTGGTTTTTCATCTGGTGGATTCACAGGGCTTTGAGCCCAACAGCCACCCCGGTTTTCGGTTGGCCGATCATGTCCGTGATATGGGTGTCTTTTGTTAGGGGTGCATTGGTGGTTTTAACGGAAGACCAAAAGGAAACAAAAGACACACATTCGCCGGAATGATTCCACCAGGGGACCCTTTGGCGGATATCATTCGGGTGGGGATTCATGCCCACCAATCACTTTTGAGCTAGTTCCCTATTGAAGCTAACCTGCTGTGTGAATATACATATCACACCTGCTGCGCAAAAAGATCTCCAATTCACCTCAAGTGCTCGAGTCTCAACAGATCCCCTGCCCATCTCGTCCCCTTAAAACGCCAGTAAACCTTTCCTGCAGCTGTTGCAACCCAACCCACTCGATGGATGCTGGTCACCTGGTAAACCCGAAGTCAGTCAGGAGATCCTATGGGAGCTTCTTCTTCTAACCTAGAAATCAAAGCCCAAGCTGTTGAAACCTTGACTAAAAGATAGACTAAACTGGTGGTGAAAAGGCCGATTCGCTTTGGGCGGCTGAGTCTTTTACCACCACAGCAGGTAGCCAACTATTTTCCGTTTAACCTTTTAAGGGAGGTTCGCTTGGTTACTTGAGGAAGGTTCCCTTGGTTACTTGAGGAACGTGGAAGCACTGGGTTACCTAGGTCTCCAGTAGAGAGGTTAGAATAAGGGTACCAACTTGTTTCTGCAGTCTATTATAGAAGGGGAACCCTCCAAAAAAAAGAGGTAAAAGGGCACTGGGGGACCTAGTTACCTTTCTGGTGTCGCTCATTTGCTCAAGTCTCAGACGCCTTGGCCCAAGCGCGCTGATCTTTGAGCACCTCCTCCAGCTCCTGCCCGGACTCCTCCGCGCGGATCCGGAGACCAAGCTGGTGAGAGATGGAGGGCTCCCATGTCCCGTTGAAACCAAAAAGGGTCTGGTTTAATCTCGATTCCTGAGTGGCAAAAACAAGACTTGGAGCTTATAACTTGCAAATGCACCTGAAACAAGGAGTCTCTAGAAAGCGCGGCCAACCTCTCCCCCTCTCGAGTTGGAGCTTGACTCAAGCGTCCATCGAAGCCCAGCCTTCAACTTCTTCTGTAGCTCCTGGCTCTCCTGGCATGCTTTGTGCAGGATCATGTTGGCGAGCTGCTACAACGACACCAGAAGGGAACCGAAAGGAAAACCAACACAGAAGCCCGGAAACAAAAGCACGTTGGATATCTGGAGGTAGCCAAAAAGGTGACCAAACATAACCACAGGTTGATTCGCATCGTTGACGTTGGGCCACCAGCCCCGCCAGCCCCCGCCAGCGAAATCCCCATGTGCCTTGGTGAGCGCCTCTTGCAGCGCGCCCAGGGCCGCCTGGCTCAGGATCTTGGCAAGCAACCGTTCCAGCTACAGATATCCTGAATCAGGGATCCTTACATTATACACCTGAACATTGCCTTGTAAATGGTGGGTTCCCTTTATTTTGGTGGAAAAAGCCAGGTTTCAAATGGGCAAAATGTACCCTTTTCGGGACGGCGTTAAAGGCAAAAAGCGGGCGTGCCAACCAGTTTTGACACGCACTCGTACTGAAAGTAATCTAAATACACAACTTGGCAAAACACAATATATTGTGTTGGTCAGTTTTTTTTGGTTTTTATTTGTAATATTCTGGCGCATCCACCGTACCATGTGTAGAACCAGCACGGTTCAGAATATGCATGCTAGTTTCCCCTAATGGCTGGAATCACTGGGAGCATGTTCACTGAGAGTCGAGGGCAACGAGGAAAGGCTTAGCGTCGGTACATGACCCATATCGCCCGGAAAATCCATCCCT